ACTTTTAATATACTTTTATTCGTACAACTATTATACAATTAGATAGCTAAACGTTTCGACGTTTACCAACATCTTCATCAGTAATAACAAAGTTAGAAAAATATTTCCATTGAAATCAAAAAGCACACCATTACCATATACGTGTTTCTTAAATTGATGGGACGTCAACGTCGTACTCAACAACAAAACAATATGGTCTACTACAGCTTCCGTCTCTACAGCTGGCATACCAACAGATTTAACCGCTGCACCTTATTATCAAGTTTATGAACAAATTGGAAACAATGATACTACTCTAGGAGAGAGACTGGATGATTGGACTCGTACAAATAGTAACAGAACATTGTTGTGTCTATTTCATCAACAGCCGATATCTACGCCAACACTACCATCATCATCAACAACACAACTTTTAAGAATAATTGTACTTGATCAAGAACATTTAAAGCAATTATTAGTCCCAACTAATAGTGACAAATATGAAACTGTTGTAAATTTATATCATCTAAATCGTATTGAATCGTTGAATATATTTTATTCATTGTTAAAATTGGATGGATTTTTATCAGCCTTTATTTATCAAACATTACTCAATAACTCTTCATACATGGATTTATACAATGTTATTTATATGTTATTCGTTATAATGATCAAGAATTACAATCATTTTTTCTAAAAAATAATTTGTCATTGCCATCGATAAATACCGATAATTTTATCCGTTGTTTATCATTAACTTCTTTTCTGGTCGACTCTTACCCACTCAACGTGCAGCGAAATTCGTGAATATTTTCACATATTTGACGATTTTATTCGAATATTAATTGATTATTTAGGTAAGCTAAAATAATCCGTCCTTTTTCTCGATTACCAAAACAATGGAATAAAATCTATTCGTAATTTCAGATTCTTCACCCTGTGATCAGATATTATCCTATGGCGTTGTACTACCAATTGATATTCAGTTGTTCATTTCAACTTTAAGTTGATTATGATGATTTTACAACATTAAGAGTCAATGTACCTCTTTCAGATATTGATACAATTGAACAATTATGGCTGAAAATTGTTCGATATATAAATGCATATCAATTGGAAACAAGAATAAAACCAGATGATGTTGAACTCTATTTAAATCAAATTTATTTTCGAACGTATCATACACCGTTGCATAGAGAACTTCGAGGCGGTCAAGAATATATGTGCTTTGATTTTTTTGACACTTTTTTCCGGTCGAAAAATTACAAACTCGAAAGATGTCAAAAACGGACATTTTTTCATCTTTTTTGAAATTCGTGTTTTAAATTATGCTATGAGATGGTATTTTCTAATTTGTTTTTCCTGATTCAGCATTGAAAATTGAATTAGAAAATAGATTTAGAACATTTTTAAAGCAAAACATCTATTCATAAAAAATTACGCAATACCCATGGCTCAAAAACGGAACACAATTTTGCTAGTCTATCACAGGGTTGTCTAGAGGTGCTGACGTCAGTATTTTCACACGGTTACATCCACTAGATGCTCAGCGCCAAAATAACGGATCGCATTTTGAAAAATTCCTTTTCCTCGCTGAGAAAAGTCGTCTTTACTACTAAAAATCGAAATTCAGACCCTAATTCGCAATTTCCCCCACCAGAATTCAACTTTCACGCAATGAAAATGTCATATTCGGAATCAGCGTCGAAAATCCGGTCGAATGATGTACTGTTTTATATTATTCGATCACTTTAATTTTTTTTTGAATTTCGGATCGAAGAATTACTGCGGTTTTCAGCGATTTTTAGAGGTAAGCATTAATTATTGGGTAAAAAGGCCCGATGTTCCCGAGTCTCGAAGATAGTGGTAGCGCCGAAATCTAGATGTATATGATTCTTAGAGTCACTACTACCTACCGGTGACTGCCCAAACACTTTTAGAACAAATTCATTTTTCAAAAAATTTCGATCAAAACGACAAAACTACATCACTCAGATTAGTGATGTTCCTTCGAGCTCAGTGAAACTATTCTCGAATCTACTATTAAACTTGAAAAAATGTAAATATCCTCTTTTTCCCACATATTTATTATAAAACCCAATCAAAAAAACAGCATATAAATGGTGAACTCACGAGAGAAAAGGTTTTCAACTGCCTCCTTACTTTTGGACGCAGATAGACATCGATGAGACTAGAAAAGCCTAAACATAATTCGGGTTCATCGGCCTTCCTTGTCGAAATATGGGAAAACATTATCTAATTAAGCGAAATTAACGTACCATCGACTGTTTTACTTTTCAGCTTCTGCAAAGGGTTGAACAGTGAATTTTTTCTCAAACAAATCCAGTTATCAGTAGCTGCGTCAGAAGTTTCAGACCGATCGACTCTATTAATCTTGAGATATTGAATTTCTATCTATTGATGTGATTACACGTATTGTCGATTATCAAAACGGATGTTCCTTTTCTTGTGTATTTCATACACATGTTCAAGTGTTTTGCTCGAAAAAAGGATGTTAAGCTGTTATATTTATTTAACGAATAAATATATGACTTATGTCGTCACTAGGCATGTTGACTGTGTGTACATTCATCAAAATTATGTAACTATTTTGTCTTTTTTTCTTTCTTTTAACTGGTTAAAAATGGTTTAACGATGTAAGCTACGACATTAGTCATCATGTTTATTTCAATCGATAATACGTGTAATCACATC